ATATATAGAGGCTGCGAGACCTCCCGGGTACTTTTGGGAAAGTTTCCTTTTTTCACCATAATTTCATATTTTAGCTATTTCCACTTCCCCGAAGCCCCGAGATCACTTCCAACACCCGAAACACGCACCGAAGTGCCCGAAGACCTTGAGAAATTTATCTATTCGGTTTAAAGCTCTACCTTCGCAAGGCCCGGTTTTTAATAAAGCTCTTGGTTTTCATAGAAGAAACATTATTATTATAACGAAGTGCTGCACAAATTACTATTTTAACCCCTGGTTATTTCACGGTGAGTTTCAATATATAAGAACAATTGTATGTTATGAGTCATGTGTATATGTTAAGGCTAGTGGGAGTATAGTTAGGTTTTTGGTATTATCTGTGGATGACATACTACTCATAGGAAATGACATTTCAACCTTGCTGTAGGTTAAGCTCTGGCTTGGGAAGTGTTTCTCTATGAAGGACCTTGGAACAGCTGCCTATATCCTAGGGATAAGGATATTGAGAGATAGGAGTAAGAGACTAAATGGACTTAGTGAAAGTACCTACTCAGATAAGGTGCTGAATAGGTTCAACATGTAAGATTTCAAGAAATGTGACTTACCGATCCAGAGTAACGCCAAACTGAATAAGACTCAAAGCCCAAGTACAGAGGGTGAGATAGCTGAGATGAGTTGAGTAATGTATGCTTCCACTGTAGGCTTGCTCAGGTATGCTATGACTTGTTGTAACGACCTAGATTCTTTTTGTTAGTTAGTCCAATGTTATATAGGATTATGTGCTTAGTATAAAAAGAAAATGAACAAAAGAATATTTAATTGAGATTTACATAATTTATAGGATTTAATTTGTAATTAAAATGGATTAAATCCATTTAACTGATGTGAGATTTATTTAAAAAATATTAAAAAATAAAATAAATAAAGAATTAATAAGTTAGGATTAAAAGAGAAAGGGGTCATGTAACATTTAAATTAATTAAACGATGTTAAATCTAATAAAAGGAAAACAAGATGTAAGTTAAATTAATAAAAAGAGTCAAATATGATTCCATAAAAGTTAAAGGGGGTTAGATGCAAATTACGGAGGATTAAATAAAGAATGTACAGAAAAATAAGAGTTGGTTATGCAATAAGAGTAAAGTTCAGGAATCAAAGTTGTAAGTTCGTTTTAAATAACCCTATTCAATTAACGCAAACTCTCGCATCCTATGTAGATGTGGCAATCGTGTCCTGTCGTGTCGGGTTCGTGTTGTGTTGAAACATTAAACAGGTTAAAAGTGTTTGATCATAATCCGACTCATTTAATTAACGTGTTATGTCGTGTCAACCCGTTTATTTTCGTGTCGAGTTCGTGTTGGGTTTCGGGTTAAGGCTATACCTTGAAATATGTCGTGTCATGTGAGGTTAAAAGGTTAAACATGTTGAAAGAGTAGGGGTTTGGTAGGCGGAAATGAAAAACTAATTGTTTTGAGGCAGAATAGATGAAGTCATAGCAAATTTATATGACAAAATTAGAAGAGCGAGACTTGGGGATGCGGATGATAAGGTCATGAGGATGTGAGAGTGGTGAAAGAGACTGGGTAGTTTGGGAGAGAATAGAAAAATTGAAATGAAATCTTGATCTAGACAGCTAAATTATTTAAACATTACAAAACAATTCAATTCGAAGGTTTTCTTTTGCTTATGCTTTTGGTTTTGTATCTTTCTAGTTTATTTAAATAATTCAAAAAACTTGCATATAAATAAACGGGTCATTTTCGAGTTGAAATTCTCAACTCTAACCTTACCCATTTAATTTTCGTGCCGTGTCGTATCAACCCGTTTATTTAAACGGGTTGAAATATCTTACCCAAACCCATTTATTTCGTGTTGGGTTTGGTGTTGTGTCAATTTTTGTCACCTCTAATCCTATCTTCTTCTTCGTATCCGTTACCAGGCGACTTATATGCCTTTCCCCTACACCCTAGTAAATGAATTACATCCCTCCTTGGGCAGCCATATAAGCGAATCGACCAAAGAGATACGAGCGAGAGAGACAGAAGGAGTTTTGCGGTGCTGTTGTGCAGTTGCGTTCAATTCCCGGTAAGCTTTATGTTCCTTCTTTTCTTTCCCGATACCTGCCGATTATGCTTCCTCTTTCCTGTCACAGTTAAACAATAGTGAAGCATAGGTGCAGTCATGCATAATTTTTCCTTCCTTTCTGTTTTCACGATTTTGCTTCCTTAAGTCCACTCTTCTTAAACCATGGAAAGATCCCATGTTGTCCATGTTCTTTTTGCCTATTCCATAAAATCAACTATATATAGCATCTCCTTCAGTATACTAATGAATCTCGGCTGGTTGTTCGGTTCATACCCAATAGCCCTCCAACATTGACTTTCTTGATTCCTACTCAACGTCTTGTATATTAAGAAAGAAAAAGAGACATGGAGAACTACATATGCATAATTCATGAAGGCACACTGTTTTGCATATGAATAGTACTTATTTCATTCTAAGAGTCTTAGATGTATATAATATTAAATCAAATGTATTAATATTCATGGGTTATGAAATATAAATAAAAAAATGTCATGCCCTCCATATAATTAAGCTTATGTTTAATCACTTTTACTAGGCTACGAAGTTTGTGAGTTGGATTATTAATTCAAATTATAGGTTTTTAAATATAATATAAATAAAATAATAACAGTTATAATGGTAAACTCCATATTTTGGATTTTTGGGATATAGGTTACCAAAGATTCAAGTGAATCGGAAATTAGTAGATTGAATTCTTAATTTTTAGTCATAACTATTATTATGATAATTTAGTGCGTGGCAACGTGATGATTTAACTAATTAAGAAGTGAACACTTATTAATTAATTTAACATGAGCTAAAGGTGAGTTCATAGTTTTAACTCACTAAAATTGTATTATTGAAACGTGCAATCTGTAGATGGTGATTTGATTCACTAGGATGATCATGACATTACTTGTGCTTGATGATGATATGATATTTGTGATGCTAATATATGATTTGTGCTAATGCCATGATATGACGTAATTGCTATGTTGCTTACGTTTTGATGTACTTTATGTATATATAACATACTAGCTTAAGTTGCTTGAAATATGATGTATGGTTATGTTTTGATGTGCTGGTGATGAATACATTGCATGTTTAATACACATTCATATGGTATGCATTATATGACTTGCTTAATTTATAAATGACATTGCGGGGTTATGCATAAAGGGTTTGGGTAGTTCATGATCTTTGCCTAAAACCTTATCCGGATCATTGAGGGTGCCTACTAGGATGAAATAGTACCTATAGGAAGAGCTATAGCCACAACGGTGATTAGTTTTCGATCTTTCTAGATAACCGTGTGACACATGGTTTGCGGGCACTTCGATGTTCGTGGGTTGGAGTGATGTTGGTCCCTCGTTCGCGGCCAACACAAACATCACGTGGGAACCGGGAGTTGTATCGTTGGAATTGGCATCGTTTGTACCGATCCTGAACGACACCGTGGGGTACTTGTACTTTGCAAAGTCGGAGTAGCGAAAGTGGAGTCACGGGGTTGGTGTTTCGGGTGGAAGTAATGAGCCACTTAGAGCATTCGGTTGGCCGTGCATACAAGTAGTGAACGGGGTGTTTGTCTTGGGTTAGGTAGCACTAAGAGACACTTTTCTATCAATCGGTTGGATAGATATAATAAAAGGTTGAACATGTAACAAACGGTTGGTTGCATATTAAAAGGTTGAATATATAACAAATGTTGATTATTAACAAAAGGTTGAACATGTAACAAAAGGTTGGTTGCATATTAAAATGTTGAATATATAACAAAGGTTGATTATTAACAAAAGATTGAACATGTAACAAACGGTTGGTTGCATATTAAAAGGTTGAATATATAACAAAGGTTAATTATTAACAAAAAGTTGAACATGTAACAAAAGGTTGGTTGCATATTAAAAGGTTGAATATATATCAAAGGTTGCTTATTAATAAAATGTTGAACATTTAACGGTTGCTTATATATGAAATGTGATTAATTATATGCTATGTGGTTGCTTATGTGGTATTTGGTTGATCATATATGTTATGTGGTAGAATTCTGATTAAACATATATGCATGTATGCGGTTGAATAATTATGATATGTGGTTGTTTTCTAACTGGTATTTGTCTATCATTTTTATGCTTCATCATAAAATGAATGATTGACCTATTTGGGGCTTGTATGTTTTATGTGCAACTTTTTGAATTCACTCAGCAGGGGCTGACACTTGTGTCTTTTCTCTTTTGTGTCTTATGATTGGTGCAAGCAGTTTAGAAGATTGACCTTGGTGAGAGGGGTTCTTATAGGTAGTATATTTATATTAACGATACCACTCTTGGACACATTTTTTATTATTTACTTTAAAGTACTATTGTTTACATTTTAAATGGTTTGGAATTATGATTGAAATTTTGAAGTACGTTGTGGTTTCGAAAATGTTTTGCATATAAAAAAACTAAGTCTTCCGCTAATGTATTCTGTTAAATAAATGTTCTAAAAAAGAAAAAAAATTGTGGTAATCACGACGTCACAAGTTGGTATCGGAGCCATGTTATGAGTGAACTGAATACAAATGTCGATGTTCAGACTCACAGCTTAGTTGGCTCAATTAGGGCCTTTAGGTACTTAAGGGGGAGGGTGTGTGTTGAGCGTTGTAGGATAATTGCTTATAAACTTTCCCTTTATAATATTTGTATATGCATTTAAAAAGAAACTCTTTATAAGTTAGGATAATGTCGAACGTTGAGGAGAATGTGAATGTTGGAGGCGCGGGAGGCAGCTAAAGCAACCATACTCCCAGGACACTAGTGTTCATGTTTCAGACCCCACCCATTAACCGCCAGCCACAAGCCCAACCATCGCAGAGTGCACTTAACACACGGAGTGCCGCCATCATTGTTGGCCTTCAGGAATAGCTCCAGCAGTGGGATAGGGCGTTGGAGCAGATGCGACAGGCGATGCATGCCGCCGGACTATTGCCACCTGAGGGTGAGAAGGAGGGTGGAGATCAATCGTTTGATGATGAGGCACATAATCGTTTTGTGCCAGGGCAGGAGGTCGTTAGAGTTGTCATATGTCGAGGGAGTTCATTCAAAACCTTCATGGACTGTAAGCCGCCTACCTTTGAGGGAGGCGAGAGTGTTGTGGCATGCCTTCGTTGGATTAGGAAGATTGACCAAACCTTCCGAGTAGTGCGAACGTTTGATAAGGAGGCACTGGAGTGGTGGGACACTATTGATACACGACTCACTGAGGTCACTCGGAGGTCTATGACTTGGGAAATTCTTAGTAAGAAGGTGAAAGATCGTTTCTGCAGTGAAGGTAGCATACAACAGGCCCAACGGGTGTTTTTGAATCTTCAGAAAGGTAGTATGACGATTGCTAAGTATAACACCACCTTTACTAAGAAATCACAGTTCGCTACTGATTATTGCCCGACCGAAGAGAAATTGATTCGTCACTATGTGGAGGGTTTACCATTTGAGTACCGTGCAGTTGTGGGATTGAAGACCACTTTAGTCGAGACTATGGATGAGACCCGCAAGATAGAGAATGATATAGCTATTCGGGATTGTACAATAGCGAGGTCCGGGAAAAAATGCAAGTGGGAGGGTCAATTAGGGTCCTCTGAGAAGCAGAAAATTCAGAAGAATGGTGAAAAAACAACGTTTTGTAAGAAGTGTCACTCTACTCATGGAGGTCCATGTAATAACAGTACCAAGATATAATAAAAGGTTGAACATGTAATAAACGGTTGGTTGCATATTAAAAGGTTGATTATTAACAAAAGGTTGAACATGTAACAAAAGGTTGGTTGCATATTAAAAGGTTGAATATATAACAAATGTTGATTATTAACAAAAAGTTGAACATGTAACAAAAGGTTGGTTGCATATTAAAATGTTGAATATATATCAAAGCTTGCTTATTAATAAAATGTTGAACATTTAAGAGTTGCTTATATATGAAATGTGATTAATTATATGCTATGTGGTTGCTTATGTGGTATTTGGTTGATCATATATGTTATGTGGTATAATTGTGATTAAACATACATACATGTATGCGGTTGAATAATTATGATATGTGGTTGTTTTCTAAGTGGTATTTGTCTATCATTTTTATGCTTCATCATAAAATGAATGATTGACCTATTTGGGGCTTGTATATTTGTGCAAATTTTTGAACTCACTCGGCAGGGGCTGACACTTGTGTCTTTTCTCTTTTGTGCCTTATGATTAGTGCAGGCAGTTTAGAAGATTGACCTTGGTTAGAGGGGTTCTTATGGGTAGTAGATTTATATTAACGATACCACTCTTGGACATGTTTTTGATTATTTACTTTAAAGTACTATTGTTTACATTTTAGGTGCGGGGTTATCAATCCTGTATAGATCTATACACAAGTATCACGCTCTCTCTCCAAGAGATTATGGTCCATAATACATGACTTGAAATGCATACTTGAGAGTACGTTGAAGTTGAGTATCTCACAATGCTTAGTATAAATAGATTTATGATAAGAAAGTCGTTATTTCACTTCAGATGAAAGTATTTCGTTTTTCAAGATGTTTACGTAAGAATGTATGAATAACACACAAACTATACCCATTATAGTTATTGTTTCAAAAAGGGTGTTCCATTTGGTGAAAATAATTCGGTGAATTATTACTTGATACGTAAAGTAAAATGTTGATATCGAATGATAATAAGATAGAAGTTGTTTTTATATCTATATAAAATGATATGTTTTCTTGTATTGTACTTGTATTCCCCCCCCCCCCTAAAACATGAAAAGACTTGAAAAGTAGGGTATGAACTCACTTGTTCGGTTTGAAGAGAGTGAGACTAGAGTCGAGCAGAACTTCAACTGCAGAAAGTTGCGTCTTCGAGCTTCTTGGGGATCTCGGTAGCGTAGAACCTTCTTCGGGAACTCGGGTGTGGAATCGAGGGTGTTGAGATGGCCTCTGGAGGTTACAAGTGTGTGAAAGTGAGAGAGAGTTTGAGAAAAGTGTGCCAAAATCTAGAGTTCATGCCCTCTATTTATAGGGTTGAAAGTGTGAGTACGTTGGGCGTACTTCGGTTACACTGGGCGTAACTTTGCGTCATGGCTTACGACTCGAGTCTAGCTAGGCGTAGAGCCTGCAGCTGATGGGACTCGAAAATGCACCTGAGTACGCTAGGCGTACTCTTAAATTATGTTGGGCGTAATTCAGGCTTCAATCTTCTAAATTTCGTAACTTTCGCGTACGGTCTCCGTTTTCACGTTCTTTATATCCACGCGTAGGTGAGACTATGCTCTACAACTTTCATTTAGACTCCGTCGGCTATTTTTGACTTTATTTTTAATGTAATGTTTTTAATAGGCCGGGATTGCTAAAGTCCGTTAACAATTCATGACTTCTTTATCCGACGTCTGTTTTCGTTTGTCTTTTTATCATCTTACTCCTGTTGTGGCGACCTTGAACTCTCATTTAGGTTGCGTTAGCTAAATATCGTTCGATCCTTAATTCAAGTTTTTAGCTCTCTACTGCTGTTACGAAACTTAGAAAATTCGTAACTTCTTCATACGCGGTCCAATTTGGGCGATCTTTTTATGTACGTTTATGGTTTAACGAACTCTACGACTTTTGTTTAGATGCTTAAGGTTAAAATTCATTTTATTGAAATTTCACTTTTTACGTTAAATAATGTTTTACCGAGTGTGTCATGAATATTTGAGCGGTCATAATTTCTTCTTTATAGCCTAGTTTTGAACATTCTTTATGTTTTTGGAAACCTTGGCACGATATATAACATTTGATGCATCCCAAATTTAGATTTTTGAACTCTTTATTTTTGAGGTTAATTTCGTTGATTCCAAATAGTTTCGTTGTATTTGAATTTTGAGTGTTACATTGCTTTGGAAAAATATAGGGTTGTCAAAATCTATGCGACTCATCAAGTTCCTTCATTTTTCTCAGAAATATCGGGAAGATCCGACTCAACTCGTCGAGTTTTCTCGTCAAATCACCGAGTTGTACCTTATCCAGTATAACGGGAAAATCCCTAATTGACTCGTCGAGTTTGCTCATGAACTCGTCGAGTCCCTTTAGACAATTTCTTATTCAGACTATTCTAGCAGAAATAAGGTCCCAAACTCTAGATCTAGCCTCTCAAGGCTGAAATACCACGTAAAGTTGCAAGCTTTTCATCCATGCATGGCATCTAGGGCTCGAAATGCCAACGTAAGCTCTATACAGGGTTAAATGCATAAAAGCTTGCCTCTAGCTTAAAGCTTGAATCTTTGGGCTCCAAGGACCTCAAACAATCCAAATTTGATGTTTAAATCTCATGCCACGCTCAAGTGACTCAATAACCAAAAGATGGATGGGAGAAAACCCTAAAACTCCCTAGGAAGAGGTCTAACAAAAGAAATGGTCAAGGTGGTAGCTTTTTACCTCCAAATAGAAGCTATCACTGAAGAACATTGGATCCAAAAGTCCCTCCTCGATCCAAGTCGTGTTGCTCTCCAATCTCCTTCCAAAAATGCACAAGAATACTCAAATTTAACCTCTCTTTCTCAAAACGAATGGAGCTTGTTTAGGGTTTGTCACAGAGCTCTAAGAGGACAAGGGAGGCAAAAAAGAAGGCTTAAGGTCCTTTAAATAGGACATAAACCCTAAAAATTAGGGTTTTCTCACTCAGCACCTACTCGTCGAGTTGGGGTCCTCCAACTCGTCGAGTAGACTCTAAAAATCATGCGACCATTAACTCCTCTACTCGGCGAGTTGGGGCATCTAACTCGTCGAGTTTCTCTGAAATTAAAAATGTAAAATAATTAAATATTATACCTGGGAGTCGGGATGCTACAAGTGGAGTTCCTAGATCCATAGTTTTCATCAACTTTGCTAGCATGTGAAGGTATAAAGCTTCTAATTTGATGACTCTATGTGTTAGATCTAGTCTAGGCCTTTGTTTTGAGTGTATTATGGTCCCTTAAGTCATCCTTGTAAGTATGAGCTACTCCCGGAGCTTAGAATGTTAGATCTTAACATTTCGGATGTTGTTAGAGCATAAAAAGCTCATGTTGATGGGTTTTGATGAACCATGCTAGAGTTGGTGTTCATATTATTGAATTGGATGGATAAAAACAGGTATTGGGTCCCATTAAGACATGCAAAGGAGTAAAGTTGCCAAATTTACATGTTAAGAACTTAAAATGAAATAGATCTTGAAACATCAGGGAGAAGTGGGCGTATAGAGGGCGTACTCCAGCGTATGTTGAGTGTACGCAGTAGAGACCCCATAAGGACTTGGTCGCGGAGTTTATCGCTAGGCGTACCCAACTCGTACGCTAAGCGTACTCATTAGAGGCCATTTGCAATTTTTTTTTGGGCCACTTTTGGAATCTAGGGTTTTAGGCTCTTGTTAGACCACAAGTCTTTTTAGTTGGGCTATTGTTAGGCCTTGGGCCTTTATATATTTGGGCCCATATTGAGCCTTGATGGTCTTTTCATTTGGGCCATTATTGGGCCACTTAAGAGAAGGGTAAAATGTTCTTTTACCCTAGGAGTCGAGGGTAGTGAATTAACGTCTCGGTTATGGTTTATGACCCAACTATTAATTAAGGTGTTAGTTGATCATATTTAGTGCGGGGATTTTCCAGATCAGTAGTCCGAACATTTGTTTCATTGTCAGCAGATTGAGGTAAGTGTCCTCGTAGTGTTTAGCGAGTCGAAGGCACCAATGTCGGCCCGTGGATTATTTTTATTTGTATGCTAGCTGTCTGTGTGACCCTTGCATGTGTTGTATGTATTGTATGTATGTTAGGCGGGGCCTGGTGAGTGTATTGGGTGGGGCCCATTACATGTTACTGACAAATTTGTAGTGGGTTGTGTGACATCCCCATTTTCACGGCCAGAAAAGATCGATTTGTTTATGCTTTGTTTTATAAAATCAGAGTAATCTTTTAAAGAAAACAGTTGCGGAATTTGTTCCCAAAACAAAATATGATAAAAATTATCAAAGCATTTCCTTAAAGAAATGTATTTTCATTATATAACAAAATCTCGGGATGTCATGTTCAATACAGACCAAAAGAATAAACATAACAAAATAGACATTACAACAGTTATTCATAACTACTGGCCTATAATCCAAAATCTCTCATCAAGTCCACCAACTTATACTCTTGTGCCATTACCTGTAATGCAAAGAAAACTGAGTGGGTCAGGCTACGGATCCTGGTGAGCATATAGGGTTTTCAACCCATAATAATATAATTATTATATTTAATTATCAAACAATTAATCCAATTACCCACCCTTATTATCTCCATTTATTTAGTAAAGATTTACCCTAAGAACCGAATACCCTTCTCCCATTCATTCCTAAGAATTGCCCTAAGGAATTGGCACAAAGTCTAGTGCTGCCATGGTTCTTAGACTACCATTGTTGAACACACAGTTTAAAATAATTAATAAACACCTAGTTCAAGAACACCCATTGAACATACTCCATTCAATAATACCTAATGAACACCTAGTTCAAAAATCCCTGGTGAACTCAATCACCTAAGGAACACAGAGTACGAAAGCTCTTAGTTCAAACCACGTGATTATAATGTATATCTCGATCCTACAAAACCACTAATATTATTAACACATATAAATCATATTTCTAAAACAATCTATCCCATCCCGTCGATCCCCACATACTGACCCTATACAATGATCTTACGAGATCTA